GCCCGGGCCCGGGGGGCTGCTGTGGCTCCCAGCCACTGTTCAGTCCCTGTGGCAGCTCCCCACTCCCCACCCTCCTGCCCTTACAGCCCTGGGCAGTGCCAGCTCCAGGGGAGAACGGGCCGGCCTCTCAGCCCAGCACCCTGTGGTCTGCAGACCCCTTAATGTGGCCTGGCTGAGACTCAGGGCCCCGGCCCGGGAGTCAGGGAACCTGTGCACGTGAGTTCTGGGAGGGTGGCCTGTCCCAAGGAAGAGACAGTGTGTGCGGCTCAGAGGGCAGAGGGGAAGTGCACTGAGTGAGCACGGGTACAGCGTCAGGGCACGTGGAAGGGGCCTGCCCGGGAGGGGGAGGTGGCTCTGTCCCCATGGCTGTGGACCTTGAGCAAGTCCTTTCCTGCAGGAGCCCAATACCCTCATCTGCAGAAGAGGACGGGTAATAACTGTAGTGCTGCCCCCTGCGGGTGACAGGCGGGCACAGAGACAAGCGCGCCTGGCCCGGGGGTGGCCCTCATGCCACTCGGGGCATATACAGCCCAGGTTGCTGTTCGTGATGCCCAGGGCAGCCTTAGAGGGAAAGTAGAGCTGAGCAAAAAAAAAGCACACCACACACGTATTCTCACAGGTGAGTCTATCCCTGCGCCAGGATATACACGTGCTGAAAGCACCTTCACCGTCTCTGAAATTCCAGCCTAGTCCCTACAAAGCATAGAAGACTGGCCACAGGTGGAATCATGCAATGTGAACATCAGAAATGGCAATCACAGAAAGTGACAGACCCGGCTTTCGGGGTGGTCACGTGTCACACTTTCATCCAGACGGGAACTGCGTGAGCCCGCCTACCCGTCTTTCCCAAGGCCTCCCAGCTGCTGCCCCACCCGCCCCGCCCGCCCCACACTCAGGCCCGCACCTCCGGTGAAGCTGTACCAGTCGGCCCCGTTGATGATGCTCCCCCTCTTCAGGAAGTTGCCCCCACACCTGTTCTCCGACCTGTCCATCATCATGGGGTGGACATCAGCGTAGGCTCTGGACAGCAGCTTGAACATCTGAGAGGAGACCAGGAAAGGGCAGCCCATGGGGCCGAGGCCGGAAAGGGGGCGCTCAGAGCTGGGGGTAACGGGATGAGGAGAGGCCTCTGAGGTGGGGTGGCCGGAGCCAACACCGCCAGTACAGGTGGCGTGGAACGGTGTCCAGGAAGAGGGCAGGGCCTGCGCAGGCCCGGAGGCGGCTCTCAGGACTCGGCACAGGTGGTGCCCAGGGTAGGTGTGGCGGGGCCGTGGGGCCGTCGCTGGGCCCTGCACACCTGGCTGGGGAGCGTGGGCCTTCTCCTGAGGGAGGGGCATCCTGCAGCGACACTGGCAGAGCCCGTGCAGGTCAGCTGGAAGTGGACAAAGCGCTCTCCGCAGGGAGAGCTAGAGGCCGGGCACTGCTGGAGGGCTGGAGGCCCGGGTGGGCCATGCTCTCAGACCTCATCTTCCGGGCGAACTCCGCCTGTGAAATGGTGATAACCATTCCTCCCACGCGGGGGCTCCCCAGCACCACTAACTGCTGAGACTGGGCCTGCGGAGCCCCCCACCCCCACCTGGCTGGTTGCCAAAACCATGTGTGGGGCTCCCAATATACGCAGGGGGTGTAGGTACCCAGCACGCCTGGGTATGTGGCCAGGACCCCCAGGTGCTAAGGCCCCTGCTCCCTGGTCTCCCCCAGAGCGCCCCCCACTTCCTCTCTCTGAGGAGAGGTCTTGGTCTTCTGTAAGTCTCAGGCTGGACGAAGGGTCCAACACAGGGAGGGGCTCCCCGTACTAGAATAGGCCCTTCTGCCTGGGACAAGTCTGTCCTGGGGAGGGGACTCTTCGGTCAGAAAGGAAGAGGGCGGGCAGGTGAGTTCAGTAACAGTGGGCTGCTCTGGGCCACACCAGGGTCTCTCCCTGGCAGGGGTCACACTCAGAGCACAGGACCTGGGGCTTAGGGGACAGCCCCGTTTCTCAGAGGTGAGGCTAGATGGTTTTGACTCAGGCCCACAGACCAAGACAAGCCTCTCAGACACGGCCCACACGTGCTCCTTGGTCACCAAGTTGGGCAGACCAGGAATTGCCATCTAGGCAGGGGCCAGGACCCGCAGGCTGGGGCCGCAGTGCCAGGGGCAGCAGCACCACCCACACCCGGAGTCTTGCGGGCCTTCTCCATCGAGGGCAAATCGCACCACAGCAAGGAGCCCTCCTGCCTGCAGCTGCCACGTCCCCACCTCGCTGACCTCTGCTGCACAGCTGCCGAACGGGCATGGGGCAGGGCTGGGGGTGGCTGGACCAGGCTCTCTCCCAGGTCTGCTCCTGATCAGCTCCTGTCACTCTGTTCCCTCCAAACCCCCTCTCTCCCTGCCCGAAGCGCCCTCCCATCACCGTCACTGGGATCTAGGCATGGAAGGTGGTGGCTGACTGTCAGGGCACGTGGGCCACAGGCCCCGCTCAGAGCAGACCTGACCTGGCAGTGCAGATGCAGGCTGAGGACGTCTGGAGGAGCGGGGCACAGGCCAGTGTGGGTGGCCAGGGTAAGGTGCGGGTAGGGGACCGTAAATAAAACAAGGTAGGGTGCAGCAAGCTCCTGGGATTGACAGGGCCCCGGAAACACAGGCCCAAGGACCACAGAGAACCCAGTCCCCGGCCCCTACCCCATGAGTTCTTAGTAAACTGAAGTGTCCCTAATTTCCCGGGGAGTGGCAGGGCTGGAAGGGCTTGGTGGGCAGGACAGAGGGGCACTGAGCTCGGGAGCAGAGTCCGCCAGGAGGGGCAGGTGTGGAGGTGTGAGAGGAAGCCACGGTCAGCTGGAGGGCCTCAAGCCCTGCCTGGGGATAGCTCTGCTCTGTGAGACATTGTGTATGTTTAGGGAAGAGGCACCCTGGGACACCCTGGCCA